ATATGACAAACTTCCGTAAAATTTGCTACCGTCGTTTGTACGGTTTTTGTGTGTACACTGCTATTTCTGTTTATAATTGATTGGTATAATCTACGAGGTATATTATAGATATACGCGCGCAAACGTCAACACAATTTTCTGAAATGTCCTTGAGGATATTGATCGCCCATTGAGAGTGATGGGCTCTCTCATCAATTACTATCGTCAACGTACTATCAACAAATTTTGTCAAACTGTCATTTCGTTAATACGATCCTATCGATAATACAATCGATCTCATGTCCCAAAATTTTGGGAATCGTCGATCATGCAAAACAAAGAGATAAACATGTTATTTGACGAGATATTTGAGCAAATGGTCAATTATATTAGATTATAGTTTAATATAATTATCTCGATTATAATATTTATTTATTTAAACATTAATTGCGCAAAAAAAAACAAGAATTGCGCATTTAACGCTACTTTTCTTGCCGACGCAAGGAGGCTAATACTAACATATATGATTGAGGATAGTCTATTCATTACATAAGCGGCGCGATAGACTATTATGTAAAAACCAGTTCGAGTCCCATCTTTCTTTCATTTGCATACGTGAAGCAGTATCATTGAACAAGTCATATGTTATTCTTCTTTTTGTTATATATGGGTCCCTTGGAAGACCTCCATTACAAGATATTGACTTAACAGAGTGGAATGTGATGATATTAATTACCTGAATGTATAAATATTTTTTTTAAAAAGACATAATATTGTTTTATTCATGTTATTTTCTTTAAAAATGGATTTTTAATGTAAAATAGACTTGGATTTATTATTAACGAGTGAGAATGTCAAGAAATCGCCGAATTTATCGCGTATATATAAGTAATCAGATCAAAGTTCAGGAAAGTAGTTTTGAGACGCATATTATCAGATTAGATAATAGCAGTGCCCCATACGCAGGAGGTGAAGGGGGGGGGGAGTTAACATTGTCAACATATCAAGCTATAAATAAATAAATAAATAAAATAAAACAAATTATCTTAAATGTCGATACGCATGTTTTAAGAAACATATTTAATTTACATTTTATATAATCATTTTAATGTATTTTTTATATAATTATTATTTTTTTGCAATAAAATAATAATTTAACAAACGGTTCACGAATGCTTTTGATGTAAATAAAAAGAATGAATAAAGCATTTATATCCGAGAGAAACATAAATGTTGAGATAATTGGTTTTTCCAGTGATATTTATCTTGTTAATGTAAATTTATAAATTGATGTAAGCTCAGTATATCTAGTTTAAAATTCCAGTTCAAAATTAATATGAGCGAATGTGATCTTAGATATTTATGTTTTCCTTGAACTTTTTCCATAAATAAATTATTCTACCAACGATATACAACGAATAACAGTGAACGTTCGGTTCTGTCTTATTTGACTCGTGTTAAGTTGCAATCCTTAGAAGCTTGTTAGTGCGGTGTCGAATTATCTTGCATATGCGATTGTGTCACGTTCGCTAAATGCGTCGTGGAGGACGGGTCATCCGTGTGTTGCGGATATGAGTGCAGTTTATTTCTATGTGCTTTAAAGTATATGTGTGTGCTCGTAAAATTGGGTCAGTAGCGTTATTGCCGATACTCGTTTTGTTGAACGAAGTTAACCAAGGTTGGTGTAGTACGTACGACGTCACGGAAGGAAGAACGATATCTGTTCGTGACTCTAAATGCGCTTATAATTAACGTGAACGTAAACCTAGGGATAATTTAAAGGAAAGCTTATCTTCAAGTAAAAAAGTATGAATGAAAACAATGTAGTAAAGGACAGTATTTCTTTAAAGAGGGCAATGCCTTTTGCTATTCTCAGAAACATGTGATGATTCATATAGGAACAGTCGTTAACGTTCGTCATGATTCATATTAAAGCAAGCCATTCCGTGCCCTTTTTATTATTATTTCTCAATTTATTCCACCATAAATATACAACATAAATTTCAACCCTCTCGTTTTTAAAATGTCTCTAAATATCGAAGCGGAAATATTTTTGGCTGACATATAGTTTTCAAAAATAATATAATCAGTTTAATTTGATTATTTTATGATTAATTATTTTATGATTTAGTACCGTACGAATATAATGCGAATAAATATAGGTACAAACAATAAAAAAAAAAAATACTTTGAGACTAACTCGTGTCGCTTAAAACGATTTGATCTTTATCCAAAATAATAACAACGTGGCACTTACGTTACGCAAGTTAAACAATATTATTCACGCGTTGATTTTAATTATATTAATTTTTAAATTAGTTTATAAATGCTGAGTGTCGGGAAGTATAATCGATCGCAACGTGTCGCGAGTGTGCGTCGTGATGACACAACGGTGAATGACGGCCACGAATACGAGTAATGACGCAACGTGTGGAATAGTGCCAGTAGACGGACCTTTATCGGTATTACGACGTCCTTTCTGTACGTCTTCGCTCGTACGATATCGAACTTCGGACTCGCCGATAAAACGAACGAGTCGAGTGGAAAGAAGCCCAGACGCGCAAAATCTCACCGCGAGTAGTTGCATTACACAAAACCTGATTACTCAATGTTTTGAAATATAATTATGCTCAGCGGACTTTAATCCTCGAAAGACACAAGCTGACATTGAATTTAACCTTTTCACCAACTTGTTAACGCACGTTAACGACTGTTCACACGGAGCATAAAAATAAGACTGTATAATTAATTGAGAAAGGATATATGTGTGTAAAGCGTTTAAAATAAAATTGCTGACACAAAGACACGGGAAGTTGACGACGTAACTTCCCATGTATTTGTGTCAGCATGGTTTCTTTGAAACGTTTTATACATATTACACTCGGTTGACTCTTTTTTCAGAAAAGTAAGCAAAATGAAACTCCGAGATGTATTGATAGCCATAACACTTTGTGAATTTAGATTTTTGTTCCTTCTATACGACGAATCCTTGCGGTATTGCGAAACGTCGTCCCGTCCACATTCGCGAAAAATACTTCGACCGCGGATTTGCTTGGCGCGTTCAGATTTTTCATGTTTCTGTATGTAATTAACGTACGTCAAAATTAATTACGTATCAAATGTTTATTTCTGAATTACAGAAAGATAAAGTTGTGTGTTGATACCGTTATTGGTAATAAATTTCATGCAATCTCGCGGAGCGGATTAAACTTGAACGGGCGCTGCCTATCATCAATATTGTCCTCGTTCTTTGTACCGTCGATTCTTATCGGCGAGTCTGAATAGTTATTTGCGTCAAGAAACGCGAACTTTGGATCGTAATAGTCTCATAAAATGGGCCGAGCACAAGGTACGCGTTTCTTGCGATATTTATAAATGCTTCGTCCATATTCATTGCCCTTCGAGATACGGCCGTAAAAGTAGCAAGGAGATACAAAGTATCGTGTCGGTTGAGTGCGATACCGGTGGAAGAAATGCTTCGTTTGCGATTTTTATACTTTCTGTTACATTATCTCAGTTATGTTGTATATGTATGTCGTCAATACCATTGTGTCTTATTTGTCCGTTTCGCGCAAAACATTCCATTTTATGAAGAGATTTTCTTATCCGATCTAAATCTGATAATTTTTTGACCGGCTGCTCTTTGCACCTTCGTGTCGAAGATAAGAATTCATGCGTAATGTATAGTTTATGCAAATCGAATGCGACTTAAAACGCGGTTGCTTTAGAAAAAAATCGTGTTTGGACTTTACATTACGCATTACACGTAACAGAATAAAGATGAACTCAGTGCCGCAGGGGTTGAACCTCGGAAATCGGCTAATTGGCTGATCGCTGTCGTCATCGCGCAACATTTTGCGCTCAGGTTTCGACTGCAATGCGTGCATTCCGCTACGAATTGACACGTGCACGCGTGTATCGGGGGCAAAGTGCACTTGACCGAGTCATCAGTTGCCGCGCGGTTAACGGACCGTGAAGACCGCGACGGGCAAATTGTGGACGACATCGAAGAATTCTTCGCGAACGTGGCGTTTCGTGTATCGGAGGTCATTCTTCGTAGGGACCGATTCATCTCATTGCCGTCTCTTCGGGTTTTGCATTATTGCGTAAGTGCACTTCGGGGAGTGCTATAACGATACATAAATGATACCGCCTGTCAAAGCTCACGCATTGTTTGCTAAACGGGCAAAGCGACGGATGTAATTCTGAACTATCAAGCAATAGCTTGATTACACTTTTTATAGCGCGAAAATTAATCGCGCATTTGCATATTTTTTAAAATCAGTTTGTTATATGCGACTTATTAACTTACGTCCAGTTGAGCCTTTCTATTTGCATATGTGTTTTTCTTTCTTTTTTTTTACATTGTTTGCATATGTGTAAGTATAAGTTATTGTTACATATGCAGCAGTTCAACTTGACGTGTACGCAACATGATTTTATCATGCAATGTAAGTTTGCTATACATAAACCATATGGTCTTGTTTTCTGCACTTAAGAAAATAAAACAGCCGAACAGATTTTGCGATATGGAATATTATCGTCTGTGGATGAATTTAAAAAACGTAAAGTTATATTGACGTTTTGAGTGTGTTTCTTTAAACTCTAATATGTATTTTGTCACCTTTACTCCAATTTACTGGAGTTTATAATTCAGCAAATGGTCTTTTCGGTATCGTCGCAAAACTAATTTTTTATACGTTAAGTACTCCAACATTTAAAAGATTTTAGACAACATTTAAAGATTACAGTATACTTCGCATTTGCAATCGTTTATACCGCAATAAATCGCCTCCAGATATTAACGATTCTCTTTATTTGTCGTTCTTAACGATCGGCGAGCGCGTCACGATAACGCCACGACAGTACGAAGGTCGTATCTGCCAAGACGATCTCGAGGGCTTCTAACTGTCGTGTCGAGGGCCATTTCGACGACGAAGAGCGTTGAATGCACCCCGCACCGCATGCACCCCGGAGATCTCACTAACTTTTGTCGACTTTGGGAATGGTTTTTCTTGCAGTGTCGATTAATCCGCATCGCGCACAGCGAGGCACCCCGCCGGGTGAAGTGTTGATCTTGGAAATAAGAGCGACCGGATAGAGAACCGCCACCATGATCGTGGACGATAAACAGTGAGTCGTAGCGTAAACGCATGGGATATGCTGCGCTGCGTAACTCGTAGATAGACATATGAGCTTGCACCGTTATGCATCGCGCGTCATACGCTACAAACGCTCGCATGAGATCTCTCTGCTGTATTTTCTATCTCGCTGTCGCTTGTACTATTACGACTCTCTGCGCCCCCGGATGCGAACGGCCCACGGATGTTAAATTAAACGTGCTGTGGGTCTTACACCGTCGCATGTAGGACTTCTCGAAACGCATTCGATGAATCCCTGAATTTCTTGAGTTGTCTCGCTTCGCCGTAATAGTTCAAGCACGTTTTTTTTTGCGATTTCCATCTATACGTTACAATTTAAATCGCATCTTACGTATAGTCATATTTTCCTCTATATTTATGTATCTGCAATCTTCTTGTTCTGATATTTTTATCACACTTATTTTTAATTTTCTTATATCGCCGTAGAATTCCGTGGCGTATTTTGCAATTTAGCCGCTAGTTGAACGGCTGTTGCTATTATTTTAACTATTTCTGTCGCTTTGATTTATCTATTTCTTATTTCCAGCATGACAATTTTGTTCTCGATGTAAGTCGATGTTACCGGCATGCGATATGTGATCATGTAATAGCATAGATCGTATGACAATATATATATCATATATATTAACTACTTTATATAAAATGTGGCTGCGTGATTCTAATCTGTCGTTCAAATTAGTACAGACATGTTACATAAATTCAGAATCACCCTGCTATGTTTACCATTGAATAGAACATATATGTATTTTGTAAGTATACCTTCTCCATTTCTTCTTAGAGATATTTAGGTCAGCTATCGGTATAAAACGATAGTGAACACGAAGAATTTGAACAATCGATATTATTACAAGGTCGATTGTGATTCTCTTTGGAAAAATATTTTATGAGTTTTTATGAGTGATTTTTTTTTACAATAATTATTGCCTGAATACAAGTAAGTTGCCAGATTCAACACAGCTGCACTGTTGAACTTTGGACTAAAATGTAATCATTTTTTACGTAGTTTGTGAGCTTTATCCATGGTAATTTTTAAAAATAAATTTTGTATTCTGCATGATTACATGTATTTTAACATATCATTTAATATATTAACTGTATATTAGATAACATGTTAAAGTATGTTAATTGTTAAGCTAATAAGTAAATACATTACAAGAAACAGATTTAACGTGCATCGATTTATGTTCTCAAGGAAAAAGCTATATGTATAAAGATAATTTATTTTTAATAGACTCTGCCACTCTCTTTTTTGTATTAATTTTTAATAAAAGTGCGATAGGAGACCGTGTTTGCATCAGATCAGTCATAAGGCATCATTACTTTAACATTATACTTGCACAAGTAATGCAAAACTTTTCCATCCGAATGCCGAAAGCAGACTGAAATAAAAATGACCTCTTAATCGCCGCATATCAGAGAAGAGAATGAATATTTCATGATACATCGATTTCTCATCATTGTAGAATGAAGGGTGACTGCAATATGAGTTTATTTTATTTTTTACTATTGCCTACGTTGCCATGTTGTCTTTGTTGATATTTCTCCTGCAAAATTCAATGGTCTAGTCTTTTTTAATTAAAAATTTTCACCTTAATATACTTATAAATAAAATTCAAAGTTCGTATGGATATATCTCTTCGTTAGACGCATTGCAATTAGAATAACAAATTATAGTGTAATTTGAACTCACGTCGTAACTCCTGTTCGTTTTCGTTGGACTTCGTCCGTCCCGCGACCGCGAGGGAAAAATTTTTATTCGGCTTACGGGGGTTTGTTGCGCGCGGGCAAATCGGTAAAAAAAGGTAAACCGCGAGATCTCGAGAGCTCCGGACGATATACTCCAGCATTTGACCGTGAGATGCCTGTTACCGCACAGCTGGCCCCCTTCGTCCCCCTTTGACTTCCGCCATACGCACGAGACCCTTTGGATAGCATGCTTGCAGATAAGGCTCGAGAGACCGGTTGGCTCCATTCGTCCGCCGCGTGCAACGTGAACTCGCGACGTTCAAAGTCCGTAAAGATTGAAATCTCGATTGCGTATTCTCTCTCAGTGTCTTCCTCTATCTATAATACTTACAATAGATCTTAATTTTCTGATAGTTATACAGGACGCTCTTCAGTATCATCAAATGCTTTTCTAATCATAAATTTTATGACGTAGACAGTTTAATGAAATTTTTTTCTCATTTTTAAACCAATATAATACGAGACATGAGCTATAGTAAATGCGATTGCATTTGATAACAAAATAAAGCTACATCTATTTACAACTTAATTTTGATAATTTAACTTAATTTAACATATTCTAATATATTTAATGAGATTTTATTTTTAATAGAATATATAGAATTTACTTCAGCTTACAATAGCTGGGAAGAGACTTGATTTACATGAAAATTTTTTCCTTAACCACACTCGTCCATCCACACTTAAAACGCCTTACTACCTAAATGCATATCATGACTACTTTTATTATAATTATTATAAACCTCTCACAGTCTTATCTTTGGCTCTAATTTGTTTTTTCCTCTTTTAAGGTTTTATCTTTAAAACAATCGTTATTTTTTAAAAATTAGTTTCTTGAGTCAAAGGAATATTCAATCTTTATATCCATTATATGAACATTCCATAAAATTTTTAAAAAGCAATTTAAATACTGGTTTTATACGTCGATATCTTTGCTCTATTTTCCTATTTTCCTTCTACTTATAGGCTGCGGTCCACTTAACACTATAAATGCTTCGAAGCATTCCTCTTCTCTTTTTTCAGTGAAGAAAGAAGGAGAAGAGGAACGCTTCAAAGCATTTGTAGCATCACTAGCATCAAATGGACTGCAACCATAGATTCATCGAATTATGCAATTATGAAAGTGCTGTTCTTTCTTGTACGACTCTTCATGTACATTTAATTTCATATTGTCTTTTTTATAACGTATGTTATCGTATATTTCATATCTGATGTTTTAATGCTCTCACGACGGAAACAATATAATCGGTTTTAGCTCCATTTGCAAATTAGTATATAAATAGTGAGAATTTTCGGTATTACATATTTGTTTTGTTGGTTGCTTTTAAATCATACAATAATTTTTTCTTTGCAATGCGTCTGACATTTATTTGAAGACATGTCGCAACATATGAACTTTGAATGTCGCTGTGACTATCTGCGTTTTATACTTGCAATAGCATTATATTTTTGCATATATTAATAAGGTGATTACGAAAATACACACGATACACAATTATTTGCACTGTAATTAACGTTCAGACGACCAAATGTAAATATCAATAATATCGAAGCAAAAGATTAATGTGATAAGAAATAAAACAACAGTGAGTTTATACTGTGACAATAAAAAATCAACATGATTTTTCGAAATTCTTATTAACAATGTTTTCTTTAATTGTAAGCAGGTGTAATTTATTGACGAAACAACTGTTGTTTGTTGCTTTCGCTATATGCTCTTGCAAAACTGCGTAATATCAATCAAAGCTTGCGTCAGACCTACTTGCCGTTTCAAGTCGAATTGCAGAAACTGAATGTGACATAACTCATATTTGCTTCTCGTATGCAATATCAAGTGAGCTGTTTTATGCGGCGTGATATATGTCTGACCGGTACATACGCGATCGATACAATAGCGAGCAAAATCAAAAGAAACTTGATTAATAACAATGCAGTGTGAAGTAAGTATTGACCTAACTATAACGTATAGGAAGAGAGAGGCGACATAAGTGCGTCGTATAAAGTTCAGGGATGGTCGGTATATCGCGAATACGATATGGCGCAATCAATAGCAGAATAAAACGGAATCAACGGAATCGATATGCAACTCCACAGATCTAAATTGACTTTGTGGCAATCGTGGCTCAGCGCGGACTGATATTTTATCGGAACCGGACTTGACCTCACGAAACCTATGATCGAAGCGGACTTGAGAGAAATTAACTTTTTAGACTTATCTTTTTCTCGTGGATATAAACACTCGTTATTGAGATCTCGAGTATTCGCAATTCATTGCGTCGCGTAAAAGAGTCACGCTTCGCGTGTACTTGACCCGAGCGTGTCTCAATCTAGCATTTGTGTATGTCGTAAAATTATCACTCTTGCTATATTAGTATGAATCTTTTGTAGCTATATAAATTGTTTGATAAATGACAAAGAGAAAAATGTAAAAATTTGTAAAATGTTTTCTTCACAAATTATCTTTTGCAACAGGTAACAAAATCCTTAAATATTTAAGTATTGATTAGATTAATTCTCAAACACGGGGTGAGAGTTATATTTTCTTTTTATTAGCGGCGTGAAAATCGATCGCCGATGTATGTCACACTCGACATTAAAGGAGATATAATCGAACATTTTTTACACTTTTGTTGATTAAATGGAAATATTATGTTTTGCATCAGCATCGAAAAACAGTAATGCGGTATTTTGGCACTTCGAGGCGATGCGCTAGAGAAGTCAAATTAATTAAGTGATATGCTTTTCTAGTTCTTCGCTACAGGAGTACAATTACATTCTTATAATTGTTGATGCGTACCATCGATACGTATGATTGAATTTGTATCCTATTGCTTCAATAGCTTGTTATCCTATCACTTTATCGATCTTGATAGATATGTTGTGACTCTGAGAGCCGCTTCTTCTGTCTTTCCTGCGCACGTAGCATGATAAGTGTTATATCTAATGCGACAATTCTGCTAAAATAGATAAAAGGCGCCAGTTTGTTGATAGCCATTCCACGAAGGAATTAATCCCGATGATTAATTTGCTTATCGGTCGCTTATTCCGCATATGCAAGATAATGTTCAATTATTATTGAATTATGTTTGCAACGCATGATTCCGACCGACAGCCTTTACTCTCGTTTATGCTTCAGAATTGCTTACTTGAGTAGATAATTTGCTTGGATAAACACAGAACGAGATACTGCTGTATCCGATAAGACAATTTCACGGGAGTGTAGATAACCAATATTCAAACTTTTCTTTTCTGCAAAAGTTAAAGCACCACGATTGAATTATATAATTGTATAAATTATATAATTACAATTATCTTTTTTGAAGGTTTTTGAAGTACATGAAAAATAAAAAGATCCATTTATTAATGTATTTATTTATCGTACATTTTTGCACTTGTTATAATTTCTCTGCTCTCAAGTTGCACAAGCACCGAATATTACTTCTGAGAGTATCTTAATCAAGTGATTCCTTTATTTAACAGGGAAATGGAAGGCTTCTGGATCTACGGCGCGATCCACGCGATCAAGGCTCTGTCGTACGTGTACGACTTGCTGACCTTCCCCGTGTATCTCATACTTCAGCGACCATGGGAGAAGCGTAAGGCCTCCAGGAGAATCAAGGCCCGTCCGATCTCCAAAGATGAAAATCAGATCACTTACAGAAGCGTCGACTCCCCGAAACCGATGCACGTCATGCTCGAGCGCGAAAAGGTCGATACTCTGGAAAAGGTACTTCTTTGGGTCGTTAAGATGTACGGCGATAAGAGGTGCCTTGGTACAAGACAAATCTTAGCAGAGGAGGATGAGCCTCAACCTAATGGCAGAATCTTCAAAAAGGTAACATAGATATTTAAAAATAAATCTTCTAACGTCTCTTACTGTGAAACGTTCTCTATATGTTGAGAAATAAAAATTAAAGAAAATCGTAAGAATAAGAATTCTTAAAACGCACCAACATGTCTGTATACTTTCATTATTGTGTTTAATACCAACATTGAAGAGAGTTTTGTATCGTGGAATTCTACCTGTTTTTCAGTATAAAATGGGAGATTACAAATGGAAATCATTTAATGACGTCAATAAGCTGGCTTCTTCCTTCGGTCGAGGTTTGGTAGAACTTGGTATGAAGCCACGTAACAACATTGTCATCTTTGCTGAGACGAGAGCGGAATGGATGATAGCGGCACATGCATGCTTCAAGCAAAATTTCACCGTAGTGACGATCTACGCGACTTTAGGCGACGAGGCTATCGCTCACGGTATCAACGAAACTGAAGTAGACACTGTCATTACCAGCCATGAACTTCTGCCAAAGTTTAAGCGGATGCTGGACATGGTGCCGGAGGTCAAGAAAATTATCTATATGGAAGATCAACTCAAACCGACTAGCACCAAAGGTTACAAGGTACATTTTAAATATTAGTTTTTAATATGAATAGGCATTTAAATGACTTTATACGTTAAATCATAAGTATACAGAATCTTCGTTCAACTTTCCTTTTGTATAGTTACATAATAGTGTTAATGGAATAGTTATCAAAAAAACTAATATTTTGAATAACCGGTTATTAGACGTGTTGCACATAGATCTGTTGGCAGATTTCCTTCTGAAAACTAGTTCTTGCTTAATAGCTGTGACATTGACTGTGATTGACTGTCATTACGTTATTACATAAACGTTGATGTCAGTACTGCCACTTATAACCAGTACGTCACTTTCTTAGTTCTTTTAGGTATTCTTCATTACTTACTTTTGTTTCAGGATGGAGTGCAACTGTTACCATTCGCCGAGGTCATCAAAATGGGTGATAAGTCAACTGCGAGTGCTACTTCGCCGAAGGGCGATGACACCGCTATAATTATGTACACGTCTGGTTCGACCGGAGTTCCGAAAGGCGTCCTTCTCTCTCATAAAAATATCATAAGCACTCTAAAAGCATTCTGCGACGCTGTAGAAATCAAGTCAGACGATGTGTTTCTCGGTTTCTTGCCATTGGCTCATGTCTTCGAGCTACTGGCTGAGAGCGTGTGTCTTTTAAACGGAGTGCCCATCGGTTATAGCTCACCGCTTACGCTGATTGACTCGAGTAGCAAAATTCAGAGGGGTTCAAAGGGTGATGCTTCCGTCCTACATCCAACTTGCTTAACTGCAGTACCGGTGAATATCTTTGCAATTTATTTAATTTCTTTTTACTATCTAGATTTTTCACTTAAAAAGAAAATTATTCTATTACTAAGCAAATGTTTATTATTCAATTTATAAATAAAAAAAATTGTTTCTTATTTTATACAATTATTACAAATAGTGCTAAGTATAAAATTGTTTGTTTCAGCTCATTCTCGATCGCATCTCCAAAGGAATAATCGAGAAAGTGAAGAAATCTGGCCCGTTCAGGCAAGCTATCTTCAATTTTGCATATGAATACAAACTGAAGTGGACGAAGCGAGGCTATGAAACGCCTCTCTTCGACAAATATATATTTGGAGCCGCGAAACAAGTGCTCGGTGGTCGCGTTAGGCTCATTCTTTCTGGAGGCGCTCCACTCAGTCCAGATACTCATAATCAAGTGAAACTTTGCCTATGCGTCACCGTAACTCAAGGATATGGTCTCACGGAAACGTCTTCTTGCGCAACCGTTATGGACAGTATGTATTTTTAAACCGCAACGTATATTTGATGTTTATGTTGTCATGTCGTACATCTTTTTCAGTGCACGATAGAACCACAGGAAGAGTCGGAGCACCCACTACGGTTTGCGATATCCGATTGGAGAGTTGGGAAGAAGCTGGTTATCGAGTCAAAGATCATCCACATCCCAGAGGAGAGATCGTAATCGGTGGCGATATAGTTTCCGCTGGTTACTATAAACTACCGGATAAAACGAAAGAAGACTTTTTCCAAGAGGACGGCAGACAATGGTTCCGAACCGGCGATATTGGCGAGATTCATGCAGATGGTTCCATCAAGATTATTGGTATGTCACCAAAAAATATAGCAAGTACAATATTTTGTTATCCCTATGAGACAAATATAATATTCACGCGTCAGTTTCTTATTTTTGATATCTCGCCGATGATGAATATTTATTTACAGACCGAAAGAAGGATTTGGTTAAACTACAACTCGGAGAGTACGTTTCCTTAGGCAAAGTCGAATCCGAGTTAAAGACTTGCCCTGTCGTAGAAAACATATGCGTCTATGGCGATGCGAATAAAGCGTATACAGTGGCATTGGTCGTACCTAACCAACATTATTTGGAAGAAATCGCCAGTAATCTAGGCATAACCGGAAAGAGTCTTGAAGAACTTTGTAGTAATCCACAGATCGAGAAAGCGGTACTCCAAGAACTTGTTGAGCAAGCGAAGAAATGTACGTTTCCATATTTTTTACTATTTTTGCTATTACCAATAGAGTTTATTATTATTATTTGACTACTTCTGTTGCTTGTAGGTAAGCTCCAAAGGTTTGAAATACCAGGCGCGGTGAAACTGTGTGCAGAACAATGGTCACCCGACATGGGTCTGGTTACCGCGGCATTCAAACTCAAGAGGAAAGCAGTTCAGGAACGTTATCAACATGAAATTAATAGGATGTACGCTTCGTGATGTTCCGCCATAGGATGCACTAAGTGTTGCGTGTAATGGGGATCTAAACCTAAGAAATCACCTTGTCCAACAGACGGTACCTCGATAATTTATAGATACATGTAAACTTTGTCATATGCTCACATTTCACGCTGGTCACGGGAGTGCCAAGCTCGTGGTAATCGCGTGTGTAATGATAATCAAAAGATCGCAGAATTCTTCGAGTTTTCTCGGTTTATCTGAATTAATAGCAATCTGATCCGCTGACAAAGATTACCAGATTAAATTGTCATTTATTCACTTGATTGAACCGGGAAAACCACTCGGAGAACGCAGAGATCTTTTGATCCAAAAATGAAAGTATCGCTTTTTTGAAGGTATTTCTTCATTAGGTCTTCCGAGCGCGACAAATTTTTCATAATTTTACATCGATATCGATTACACACAAGTCGAGTATTCGATTTTGTGACACGAAGCCGATGAGATTTTCTATGTATCACTTTACGTATCATCTTTACGTATCAACTTTATCGAGGGCAAATGGATACCGTAAGATGATACCGTAGCGCGATATATTGGAAAAAAAAGTAAATGGTACAAGACGATTTTCCGCTGGGAAAATTGTTGTCGTCCTACTCCCTCTATTTTTATATCATTTTTTATTACGTCGGTCGATTCGTCGCGCCTGTATTTCAGTAGTGCACCTATCTAATTATTGATATTAATGAACCAGTCACGATCTTTGCAAACAAGCTGGTTTCGGTTAAATTCACAACTCGTACGGTGTACTTATTTTAAGTATTATTCAAAATTGTCGAGTTCGGTCTTCGGAGGGGACGAGATGTTTGAAAGAGATCTTCTCAGAGAGCTTTTTGTTTTCTTATGATATATCATATGTATATACATAGATAAGAAATGAAAAACGAGGCTGTTGTGTTCGGCACGCATAGATCAATTTCAAGACAATTTTAATAATAACATATTGTGTAAATTAAAATTTTTCTCTCTCATCGAGATACTACCACTTAACACTCTTACATCGTCTGTCTAGCAATTTGTCGACATATTCCGCGCTTACTTTTTTTGAAATATTAATTCAGACATCACAATATTTCTCCCAGCAACAGAGAGTATTTTTGTGTATATGCGTATACGTTGGAGTGTGTATATGCGCGCGAGGGTGTTCGATTTTTATTGTTATATGCTTGAATGCACATATATGTCTACAAGGAAAAGATTAGGAAGTAAAACGTATGTGAGCTTTATAAAGAAATCATGTTTTACAAATATACAATTGTTCTTTACTGTTAATTTTTCGCGCGCGTGTCTCTGCCGGTTCGAGTTGTATGACTAAATTTATTCACATTTCGAGGCAGAACTGCACGTTTAAAATATTTAAAAATATTAAAAAATGTAAATATATATCTTACTGCCTAATTTGCCTAAATAAGTGGAACTTTGCTACACAGGCGTCAGAAAGTCAACTTTCAAAATTTGCCATATAACTTATGTATTTTCTTTCTTTTATACTCATATTATATTTTTCAAATATTGAACAAAGTATTACCCGTCGATTGTGCTTTCTTTTTTTATTCACATGTTTGCGCATATTTTGGCGTATAAATACGAGCCGACAGAGAAAGCAGCGCAGTATCCAGAAAACTTGTACCATACAAGATTTTGGCGCATAAAATGCGCGTGTAGCAACTACGTTAATATGTGCGTTTACACATACAGAGGGGCTCGATTCTTGAATTCATTCGCAAGATAAACGTACACTGTTGAAAAATTTTTTTAGGTTTGTTAAAAAAGGTCCGTGTTGACATTTTTGTGTAAAATAATCAACACATACATGTGTAGATTTAACATATGCCTGCTATGTTAATTAAACTTGAAATATTTTAGCATAGTATCGGTGTTACTATTTAACACATCCATATTATGTTAAATTAACACAAAAATTTGAGTGGACTGTTTAGGACATGCGATTTATGTTATATTTAACACAAATTTTCCAACAGTGTATGCGCAAATGTTGATCTTACAGAAAAATTGCAAGTCGATGGCTGTCGCATAGCTTTTAATCAATAAATTTGTAACGTTTCTGTTGAGAGAAGAATTTTCGCATACGGTTCTCTTGCGAATAAATTCGAAGAATCGAGCCCCAGACACAAAGCTTAATGTTTTTCTTCTGTTTTGTTTTATGAAAATGAAAATAGCGGGAGCTAATATCAGTAGTAACCGAGCGAGGGCACGAAACGATGAGCGCTAATGAGAGCTAATGATCAGAGGCAGCTCACCTTTTTTTTCATTCGCCACGAGAGTTCCTGCGATAGCTAAGTGTATGAGAGAGTTGGTACTAATTTGTATTAATTATTAAGCGCTGTACATTACTTAAGTAGGCATGGTCAATTGTTTGGTGTTATGGCATCAAAGATACAATTATTATTGATATGATTATTAGCAATTATCATTATTTGAAAATAATTTGCAAAATAAATGTACAAAGATGTATATCACTGATTTTAAACGTCATTGCAATACATCTCTTTCATTATTACTTATTCCATTTCCCAGATATGAGCCATAACTTTCATTTATTTATTTTTTTATTTAAATTCCTAAAAAATTAATGCATTAATGCATTTTTGAGTAATTTTCCCTTATTCCCGACTGTCACATATGTTACAGTGAGTCTTTAGTAGTTCAACTCGCAGTTTCTGTGCATAGAAATTATGAGCATCTTTTAAGACTCCTTCGAAATATCCAATCCAATCCAATTAATTAATAAAGCGTACAAAGTAAGAAAACACAACGAAGTTGAGTATGATATAATAGTTTATTCAATACAAATGAAGTCATTAATACATCGATCTATCAAGTTGGTCATTTGCAGTAGACGTAAGATGGAATGCCACTCTTTTTCTACTTTCAAGTAGATATATACAAACTATAAAGTGTATACGGTCGTGGTGTGCGTGGTGCTGCGCGCGTTTTAAATACACACTACATTAAAATCTATAATATACATACGTGTACATATACATACATGCCTATATAATATGCTGCGCGCCGGCCATTAATGCGGAACGAGTTCTCTCGACAATTATAAAATACAAACATACATGTACATGTCTAAAGTCCACAAGACGGTGGATCGCACGCGCGGAGGAACATTCATCTTTATCTGCGAGGTCACCGGTCATCAAGACAGATCGCTTGAATTAATGATTTCGTCAATGACAATTGGATTTTTCTCATTGTCTCGATTGATTAAACGCGAAATAGAGATTTGTTATTCACAGCAGCGCGGACTTTACACAATGGCTATGGATGCATTTTCATTTATCGAAGTAAATATGTAAATACTTAAATCTTGCTGTAAAAATAAATAACGAGTCTGTAAGTTTCTAGTTTATATTAGATTGCAATATAATCAACAGTGCAACCTCGCAACAATAATTGGTAGTACGAACAGAATTTATATATTAATTTTACCGACATTATTTATGTATCAGCTGTAACCGACGAGAAAAACGATGCTATTAATAACATTCTTTTTTTATATCCGAGGATAAAGTGGGTAAACCGTGCGATGACCGTCGTATATTTTTACAGATGACGCATAGATATTATTATTACACGTTTAAGCATCTTCTATTTTTATTATCTTTTGATAATTGGCCGTTTCGCGTTTACCAAAAATTTTTCTTGTACGATATCTACACATTTCTTTTAGTCACATCACAACACATATATAATTTTCTAACATAAACTGTTTTGCCAGTCGTGGCCAAGACTGTTGGCTATATACGAAATATTTTTTAAATTGTGATATTTATTTAATACATTCACACACACCTTTTACGCGCATAGGGACGTCTATAACAAGTTTGCAATCGATCTTTAGAAGACCATTATTTGCTCTTAATTTTCAACAGGATGTACTTTGTTGCGCAAAACTTCCTGACTTCTATTTCGCGGAGAACACGCTTCGGAAAAAATCCGTTCTAACAACAAATACCCGTTGCTTTATAATAGTTCCTCTAAAAGTCGATATCTCTTCAGATATTGAGCGCCGAGTGTAAAAGAGAAGTATATTCTAGAATTTGGTCAAGATTCTTACGTTATACGGAATTAATCGTAGCCTCGGGACTATGTAGCTAAGTACCCTATTAATTACATAGATGCACAGATGAAGTCGAAGTTATCTAATGAGAGTATGATCTACGCGATAGGGAAAAGTCGTTTGGACGTATTACGGCGCTCGCAAGAAAACGCCTGAGATAAACTACGTATGCTCGAAGTTGCTTTCGACTCTTGGCGCTCGTCTTAACTATAAATATTTTCTTACGGCAAACACACTTCGCGATTATTCAATTTATCGTGTCGTGAGATTGAATAATGCCATTTGCACGGAAATATTTTGGTGAAAATTCGTCTTCCAATATCGTTCGAAGAACGAGAAGCTGTCTGCATTCAGAATTTCTGGCAAGACTAGTAAACTTCAATATATTAAGCTTAAATCACATTTAAAAAATGTCGTTTTTAAATCGCAATTTATTTGTGTTAATTAGATAATTAGCTCTTTCTGATAAAATATCTCTTTAACAGTTTATAATATTTCTTTTAAATAATAAACATTGTTCCGATCGAGCTCGAAGAAAAAGTTGTACGAAGCGTAATTAAAACTTTTAATAATGTAATTAAAATTTTTCAGAGATTACACGCGTTGCGAAAAGGCCGGAATGTACGTTTTCGTAGAAACGTTCCTTTGACGGAAATTGCATGGCGCCTGGGACTACCGTCAACTGCAAGAGGCTGCCCAATAGTACGAAGTGCTATCGAAGTATCGACCGAAGCAGGAAGGCGTGTAAGCGAACAATTTCAGAAGAAAGTTAAGCGATTTTCTCTAGTCGCCGGAAAGGAAGCGGGGAAACAACGCGGGATTGAAAGTTTATCGCAACCCGTGGCAACACACGTTGCGATATAAATGGATTTCGAAGTTTTAGATAAAGTTAATTACGGGAAACGACGTGGGAGAATTATTCAGCGCAAGACTCAATCGATCGCTTGCCAATAAGGCAGAATTGTATTTATAGAACCACGTACGTGATCAAGCGGGAAACATAAAGCCGTTCCTTTAATGATCGGTTATAAGATCTGATAATCGTTAATAAGATCTGATGCTCCAGCTTCTAATTTACGGCACGATAAAGGATCTAATCGCGTGACAACGTGAAAACGCTCTCGTAATAGTCGTAAATCACCGCACTTTCATTTGGAGTAAGAATTTTCTGCTTGGGAACACTTTGATGAGATACTTCCATTTGTCCGAGTATAAAGCGGATGAAAACGATTCCGGGCGATATTATTCGTGATGAGAATACTCGGACAATTCTGAAAGGCGTCGAAAAGACGTGTGAAAAACATATTAATCTTTTAATGGCTTCTTTCTTCTGTTACTTGATGGGTGAATAATTTGTATACGGATTAAAATCTTTTAAAAACATTAATGAATCTTATGAAAAAAGCATACATTTGCAATTAAATATAACGCAAAATAATTTAATTTTAATTATATATGAAATCTGTTGTACCAATTATTATATATACTTTACACGAAAGTAATATTCGTAAATTATTATGTATTATTCATGAGTCTTGAAAAATATTAATATGTAATTCATATTCGAGGCAAAACAGGCAAAATTAAAGAGCAATCAAATAGTAGTGCATTTTACGAAGCCGAGATAATGCTCTAATGAGATTATACTTATCAAAATTAGGATTATGCGATATATTTTTGTAATTTTTTTCGATTTTATTCTTGTTTAGTCTACAGGTGGCAGATATTTAAATTCGAAAATTTAGGAAATGCGAGATCTTTTCACAGAATCAAGATACATTAAAGTCAATTTCTTTTACCTTTGAATTTCGGAAAAATTAGGATAACGCTTTCTCGGGAATAAAAATCGTATCATTAATTTTACTTCATCTATACTTTAACCAGTCGTCGGGTCCTTTCCATCTAGTAGTTAATTGCCATTTACTTTGTCTGTGCAGCGCACTTTAACTAGTTAGGCTGGCATCCCGTTGCGTCGCCTTTTAGAAACGTTTTAACACCGGAAAGCTTTTTCGAGGACACGTACAGGCGCGAATGAGAATAATGGTCCATTGACTATACTCTCGCACGTACACACACACACACACACATCACCCTACTGTCTAGATACAAAGCTCGGGTGCGTTTAGAAGAAATCACAATTTGTTGAACGTCGGAGAGCTAGTTAAAGTGTACCTCGAATAGTCACCGTTGCGCACTATAAATCAGTGTTGACTACTTGTCCCATTTTAGATAGGAGCTTTAAGCCTTTAAGCCTTTAAGGCAATGTTCCTCCCTTTCTTGAGAATCTTTATTCCCTTCAGTGTGCGTAATGGTGCAAATATTGCTCTCTCTCTTTCCTTCAAGAAATGTGCTCTGGCAATAGCTCCATAACGCGTGATATCGGGTGAACACGTTCCGCGAACGAGATACTAAGTGCGTTCCAAAGGGAGTACATACTGATGATAAAACTTTATATTCGAGGAAATTTGAAATCGATTTCCCACAGATAAACCGTATCCCGTCGCTCCTTAAGGTTTAACAATGCGCGCGCGACATTATTTTCTCTTCCTACACTTTTATTTTAACCGATCTAGCTGTTCTCGAGTTTCAATTAGAAAAGCCTTTTAATCTTTTCAATCTTTTTTTTTCAAGCGACTTTATTTTAAAGAGAAAATAGAATCAGAGATTTATGTCATAATCTGCGGATTTTCCTGATTAGAAAATCCGTTTTTTGTACGCAACGTAACTACGGTACGCTAATGTAGAGAAAACCATGCATTTTTCTTTTAGCTTCATTCATATTCCGCTTAAAATTTTCGCGCTTTCGGAGCTTTTTCCGTGGTGAGGCCGTGAGAGAATTCAGACGGTGATGTAGTAAGCCCGTGGTTTACCCCTTGACATGGTTGGACTGAAAAGGATTCCTGGTGTCGTCGGGCTAAATGACCAGGACGCCCACGAAGGCGGCGGAAACATACGTCATGACGTGTAGTATCCTTCGTGCCGTTTGCGACACTTTTCACGGGCGATATAGCAGAGTGCTATGGTGATCAAGATCGCTATGGTGATCCCCATGCCTATGCTGATCCAGATGATCTCTTCGTTTATGCCACTGTAGCCCTTTCCTGAAACGAGTCTAGATTTATCTCGCATTTCTGCATGCATATGTTACATTTAAATGTCAAATGGCATTCCACCCCCGTGAAGGGGGGAAGGAAGCGGGAAAACTTTTAGATAAACTTTTTTACATATATTATGCCATATATCGCAAAACCTTGTAAAATTTATTAAAAAACGAATCCCAATACATTGTTAATGTTTTAAGACAAAAATTATAACGATAACACATTTTCATAGTGACGTAAAAGTGCACGTGTATCTCAATATTTACATAAATGACTTGCAAGCTTAATTGACAGGCTTAATTGACAGCATGAAAGAGCGATTTGTAAAAGCTTTATTGACTTTATTCTTTCAGAACCTATATGTATTATTTCTAATTTTCCAATTTCCGCTCGAAACGGTTCATAAAAATAAGACTCGCGCAAATCGCGTTTTCTGTCAATCTTTCATGTCTTTTAAGTTTTGATTATAAATATAATTTTGTGTTATTGTTAAAATATACAAACCTTATAAAAGTATTATATGATATATATATGATATATATATATATTTTTTATAACTGCGTTCTTTTTAATCAGAAATTTTACGTTTAAAATCCGCCTTCTCCGTTTTTCCGCTATCTTTATAATTTGCCGCTATAAAATCTAGTTTTCCGCCTGTCGAGGCAAATACGTCTGTTTTATTTTGAAATAAATTCATGGAAGATCGATTTAGGAAGATTTAGAAAGCACAACATAACTACGACATGTCCCACAACCGTTATACTTTAATAATATATTTTAGAATAATTAGATTTAAAATCCTAATATGAAAATGTCAAAATCGCGAAAGCTTCCGAGTTATAAAATGATTGAAATTATTGATTGTAGTGTCGCGTAAAATTGGCTTGTCCAGGTAAATAATTGCGCACATCTGCGTATCATTTATTATCGATTTTTATAATTTAAATTACATTGAGCTTTATTGCCTAACTGAATTTTACGTTAATTAATTTTTTACCCTTGCCTTGGCCGATTTATAATTTGCGTCAAAATTTACACTTGAATTCCATTTATAATTTTATATACCGTATATATTGATTTTATCTACCATATATTGATTTTATCTACCACGTATTCCATACCATGTATATGTATGTTGTATATATATTTATTCTGATTCTTTACGTTTTACGTAAAGAGCACACAGAATTATAAATAAAACTTTATCACGAATAATATATTATTTAAAGAGAGTTTTATATTTAAATATAACGATCACACACAGAGTAATCAACTGTTATTGACAAATTAATTGCTGGTAGCTAATTTAATTATCGCGTGTAAATTATTTAATCCTTTTTCTTTAACGGAAATTCTTTGTCGAAAGTTAACCGTTAATTTAGGCGTTGAGTTTACAAAATAATGAGGGACGCGTAAAATGGGGATCGATAATTCACGTACGTTGAAATTTAAAATGTATGGGAAAAGAAAGAAAAATACTCGGTTCAGTTATTTTGCGAAGTTTCAAATATTTCGTATTCAACGGTCTTCGCGGTTGTTTACGCACCGCGACGTACGGCGCGCCGCCCCTCCCCGCGCCGCGCCATACGTACCCAAAACCTCCGGCGCCGGGCGCGGCGCGGCATTCGCGCTCCAACACTCGAGCAGGCGGGTAGCGGCGTCCCGCGTACGTCGCGTTATCCCTCGAAACTCGACCACGGTAGGTACGACGAAGCTCCAAACGCGATTATTCTCTACAAATGCTTATTAAAGGATATCAATCGCGCGATCATTTAACTCTCATGATTAACGCGTATCCAGAGCCGACGCGACGGCTTGGTATCGAAGATATTTGCGCGATTCGTTCATTTGGAGCAAGTACCGAGGCGACGGCGGACGGGAATCGTAAATTATCGTCGTTTCGTAGTAATACTTGCGGGCGATAGCGATAGTTATTTCTGTAACGATGTTTCGAGTCGAATACGTTTCGCATCGTACGTTGAATTTTACGTCATTTTGAATATAATTTGCCTATCAAGAGATAGCACGGGGATATATACGAATCGAGACGAGATAACGAAAAGCCGTGATACGTGATACATCGATTATTTATTACTAATGCGCGTGTTAAGATTTGTGCGTTCAGAACATATCGCCCGTGAATTCGTGAATTTCGTTCGCATATTTTTTGGACGATTGATCGCGTTTCGATCCGCCATTAATTGACTCGCGACGTGGGCGACGTGCGATACCCTAAAGTTGCCAACTTCACTTTCGAACTTATCGATCGATCATTCACGAATCGCCACAGCTACGTAATGGAGCTACGTCTCAGAGTCGAGCGACGACGCGACGCATTTAATCAGTAAACGTAACTTTGATTAATCCTATATCTAATATTTATTAACTACGTATCGGTAAGCTCGTCATATGTATCGGTAGTTTCGTTACACCGCGTATCTCGCGAGATTCATTCGAATTCGGTCACGCGAGCAACCGACAAAGCAGCGTCACGGTCGGCGTCAACCGTCGCGGATATTCGTTTCAGATTTGAAGTCGCGAGTTTATTCACTTATGTTATAATTATAATACATAAGCGAAGTAAGTAATCGTCCTGAAATAGCTGAAATGCGATCGTGCGCTACGTATCGTTCAAGGCGCGAAAAATTTGGCGGTACGGTGTAATTTGGCGCAGCAGGTGTATCGTCGCCGCGGCTAGTGGCGCCTGAAGTTGGCCGTGTGATCTTCGAATTCGCTTTGCCGTTTGGGGTACGCCATTACGTTGATTTGCGAGACGTCGCGGGTGCCGCGAGCCGAGACTGCCGAGTGGATCGTAGTTCCGCGCTATTGTTCTCTTCTCGCTCTCGCGTTATTCTCGCCGTCAGAATGTAACAAGTAAAAGTGTGCGTCGCGCGCGATTAGCGTCGGGAGTGCCGTGTAAAGTATCGCGCGATTATCGTGATTAGGGTTCGCGCCGCGCGGTCGTAATTATCGTGTGATCGCAATACCGGAATCTGAGAGGAGGAGGAGGCCTAGGAGGCATCGGGCAACGGCGCAGCGACTACGAGGTGAGTAATTTATCATTTGTATATATTTTTTCGGGATTAATCCTTCTTTT